GCATTTGGACTGATAAAAAAGTTGTTCAGAGACAAGAACTGGAATAGCACAAACCCAGAACTGCTTCTGAGTTTAGAAGCTATGAAATTAGGGAAACAATTCAATCTACTTAGCCCAAAACTTTCAAAAAATTATTAATTGTTGTTATTTGCCCTGATTTTTGATTGGCCAATCTGAGACCTTATGAAACGATGAAGAACTCGCTGTTCAGAAAACACAGCTCACCCTCTGCAGCTTGGTAATTTTAATAATTAAAGTATCTCCAGCTGGACACCACCTCTGGGTATTCAGCCACGCTGGCAAGGAATGCTACAGTAACGTAACTGAGAACCAGCATTTATTTATAGCACTAATATTTAAAAATGAGTTCTGAAACACTCCTGGCCTGCATTAGCTAATATGCGTTTTTATAACCTGTGAAGGCACTCATATGTAAATAGCCTATATAAAAAATTGTGTTCTTTCCTCATGTGTCCTTTTCTCTGTGTAATTTTTTTCCTTCTCCATTACTCAAAGGGCAAGTAAGAATGAAATTAATAAATCCAAATTATTATTCTTGCAAAATAATAGGCTGAAAAAGCATTGTCTCTCAGTAATTTCCATATAGAGACAGAACTTTGTAGCGTAAGACATTGGATGGGAACCATAATAACTTTCAATGACATGAGCCTTGGTATTTTTAGCTAGAATGAGAGGACAAGTGATGATTTCAAGGGGAACGTAGAGCCCAAAGCACGACCATTTGTGCTGCAACTTGCACCTGTTACAACTGAAGGAGAACAATATTGTGCTAAGAAGAACACCACAAGTTTCTACAGCTAGAAGAGATCTGACGTGATCCTCTGAAGCATAATGACAGTTTTAAACTCCCCCCAAAGGCATTCACGCCTACAGTGGGACAGCAGGTGACACCAAGCTGGGAAGCTGTTCCTGAGGGCTGCTAGTGCTAGTACCCGGTGGAGAGCGGATGGCTTGGGGCACTCATCGGCCCACTGTAGAGCCCCAAGCCAGACAAAATTCTGACATGATGGAGCCCCAAAACACCATGGGCATTACTGTTTATGCTGCACCAGCATTTGGAGACCAGAACTGCTTCAGACGGGCACAGTCAAAAAAAAAAAAAAAAAAGGGGCAACTCTTGCTCCACCAAACAACTCCAGCCCTGCTAGTTTTTCCAGGTGAAGGAATGATTCCTTCTACTTGAGTTTAGGTTGGAGAATGTAAAGTACCCATGAGGCTAATGAATAAATATCAGCAGTCTACACTTCCGTTGCTTTAGGCACCAGTTGTCTAAATCCCAGTGGAGAGAGTAACCTGGAAGTTTCCACAGGTTTAGTGGAGGTTTCTAAGCTTGCTCGCAAATCTGAGGTGCCTTCTGAACAAAGAACAATTTTGGTTTGTGTCTTCACCCCCCAATTTCATAAAGACACTTGAAAATCCAGAGTTTGTAATACGCACTGCACCAAAAAAGCTTCTGGCAGTTTAGTTAGAGAACATCAGGTATGCCCCAGGCTAGCTCTCCACAGGAAGAACTGCAAACGCCTCAGATACGCCTGTAACTTCAGTAAAAGCGACGATTTAGCAGAATGTGTTATTGGCAACTGGTGCAAATGTGATACAGGTGTGACAGATCCTTGTCCACCCCTGAATGATTGTTTCTCATGGCTCCTAGTCCCACGCATACATCACTGCTTGGTCTGCCAAAATGAACTAAGAAGGATGTGTTTACAATGACTTTTGAAACCTTCACTGAGGATGGTGATTTCCTTGTACTACAGCTGTGCCAGAGACCAGTATGAAAACATGAAGTGTCAGAACACAGGTACTGTCTGTACTCTCTTGTCTACAGAGAGACATCCAGACTCACAGCTAATTCCACGGTTTATCTTGAAAATACTTCAATATTTTTTATTTTTGTCTCTCTAGCCTCATACCTTATCTTTGCCAGTGTCTGGCACAGGATGCCTAAGGAAAAGTATGAGATTCTTTCCGTACTTTGTTGCCCCAGAAGCGCTGCAAGAGGGAACGCGGAAGCGGCCGCACTGAACCAGCACAGAAGGTGCAGATCTTGACACGCACCAGTAACGATCACACAGGCACAAGTACACGGGTGGGCAAGCACAGAGCACATCACCTGTCAGTCTTCAGCAGCCAGCAGTATCAGATCTCTTATCTTTATACTCAAATAACCCACGACTATTTTTCATCTTAAGTTTTAGGCTTCAGGGTATCTGCTAGCAAGGAACTCCAGCCTGGCGGTGCAGTCTGTAAAGCACTTTCTTTGATTACCTATGTCCTGTTCCTTTTATAGAAGGAGCAGCGGGCAACTTCCAAATTCATCGCTGCTGTGGTCTTTACGAACAGCGCAGCGTGTCTATCAGGCACTGGTGGGCTGTTGCCAGGGAGGAGACCCTGGCATTTTGCATTTCTGTGAAAATAAATCAGTTAGTCAAAATCAGTTTTTTAAAGCCTACATACCTTGAAACTCAAACTTCCTATCACACAGTGTCTGATACGTGCATGAGGGAGAAGGGAATTTAAAAAAGCAGCATCCACGAGTGACGTATGAGGAAGATGCAGGATCTAAAACTCACCAGGAGCTTGGGTGTCAAGGTTATCCCCCCCCTTCCCAAAACATCTGCTCAAACATTATTTTTAGCTGTGAATGTCATCTGTCCCAACTATAGTGGTTTCCAAGTTGGAAGGTGGAACTGTAAATCTGTTCTTTACCCCAAAAACATGAGGTAATGTGAACGCCTCCGTGAAAATGATGTGATGGCCTACGTGAAGCCACAGAGGCAGAAGAGAGGCTACTGGAGAATTTAGGTATATCTCTACATATTCTTTGGCTCAGGCTCTTGCCTCCTGAGGCAGAACAATTACAGTACAGACTACACCCTTTATAAGAAGTAGTCACCACAGCATTTTTCTTCCAGAAAAGGTTAAAACAAACTTTATTGTACGTACAATTCAGATCTGTGTACAAGGCAAAATATAGCCCTACAGTGGTAGGCATATTGGGTCTCCACACAGCATGTGTGGCCACTTGCACTACAGTAGTCCTGAGGTACAGAAAAAAAGCCCTATAAATCTTTTTTAAAAGGCCAAAATGCGTCCTTTGAACCACTCTTGCTATGATCACCCCCATTTGGGAATTAAGAAAAACACTACACAGTTCTGAATCAAGAAAACAAATTGTCTACAAGCCAAATACCCCAGATACTTGTCTCATTCCCTGCTGTCATCTGGGCACACTAGCAAGAGCACTTGGGGAGCACATCAGGAGATGCAGGTTCGCAAGGTTACTTCACTAACACTGCAAAGCATGTAGAAGAACGGTAGGATATCTTTGCTACCTTCAAAAAAAAAAAAAACCCAACAACTTACTTTGCTCCTTTTCACCATGAAGTTATGTGATACAGAAGTATTTTTACAAGCTTTTAGAAGCAGTAGAACTGCAGGTATTTAAAGTCCTGTCCCTAAGATTAAAGACTACTTGAACACGCTCACTTTGTTGTAAGATTGTATTTATCATTAACTGACATGGAAAAAAGGAACAGTCCTTTAACAAAAAAGTTAAAGACAGGGACAAGGTAAAGACAGGGCTGGGTTTTTTTAGTTTTAAACATAAAAAAATAAGTTACGCTATACATTATGGCTTTCTCATTTAGAAGAAGAGTGCCATCATGGATTTAAACACTACATGTTGTAACTAATTAACTCACCATGTTCTCAGATTTTACTTGTTGGAGTTTTAATGACTGTGTGAAATGAAACAAACAAAAATTAGTGGGAAAATTAAGAAGCCTCTAGAACAATTTAAATAGCAAAAAGCACCTGTAGAAGAAGTCTTTCATTTTTAAATTTAAATTTTTAATTTAATTTTGGAATTAATTTAAAATTGAAGTTTTAATTTAAACTCTTGGCACAAATAAAGGCCAAGCCAAACCTCCCATGAACTTCAGCAGTCAGGACTTCATCCTGAGCTTCATTTCAGAAACGTTTACACAGCACTATGATGCCATCACACTACTGAAGTAATGATCTTTCTTTAGTGGTTGTTACGTTAATCACACAACTAACAAACCAGTTTTGGTATGCCGCTGTCTCAGAAAGGCTACAATGACGCTAAACCACCAAGATTCAAAAGCTACAACACAAATGCTCAGTGTTAAGTGTTGTCCACCACGAATACAAAGGGGGCAGGGGTGCCAAAAATGCTAGAGTCAAAGACTGAAAGACCTCATTTACAGAATGCTGACTTTTTAACAGCTGAGTACACCTGCACTCTGAAGTCTGAAGTTGCATTAAGCTGGACAAGCTATGCCAGCATTCAAATACATGTAAATAAAAACGAGTCTAGGTTCATAGCTGAAGTCGTAACAAACACCTCACAGTGCAGCTGAAGTAGCATTTGCAACAACAGCGGACGAGCACAAGTTTCAGACTTGGAATATAATACGAAAGACCATGGCACTGAACTTGGGAATATTCTCAAGCTCTAGTTTCACTCACATAGAGGAGCTACCGGCTGAATAAAGTTAACTGAATGACGTACTTTCCCCCTCCTTATAAACAAGGCTCCACATCATGCGTGGGACAAGCTCTCTCTCCCCTTTTTCTCCAGGAAGAGTAGCCGGAAGGCAAGCTACAGTGATTGTTTCCGACCGCAGTAAAGCAGTAGATAAAAAAGTAGGTGTATCAAAAATTCTTACAAAAAAAGGCATCCATCCTGGTTTGATTTTGTTTATAAAAAGGCACTTCACATATTGCTAAGACTCCGTTAATGTACTTACCCTTTCAGTTTCCCTGTTAGGAGGATGTATTTCAAGGTGGTTAGCGCGAGTATGCAAATGTACTTTATACAGCATCTACCTGTTAGATTCTATAATTACTTACAGTATCTCACACCACTGATTTAGAAGAAGAGATACATGCTCAAAATGAAATACTTCAGGGATAATGGATGATCTGTCGTAAGCAACACGCCACCTTGTAGTGAGTTCACGCTAATCAAATTAGCAGTGCAAGTCTTTCAGAAGTGAGTCCTCAGCCTTTTGTTTTCCTCCCGCAGTCTCTCAATTTCAGCTACTAAGCTTTCATTTACAGAGTATCTTTCAAGTAAAGAGTGCATTTCATTCTAGATAAAAGAAAAAAGTCCCAATCAGTAGCTATAAAGTTAATTATTCCGGTTTTATCCTATCCATTTTCACATCCCTTTTGAAAATTAAATAACCTAGATAATACTGTTTTTAAAAACTTTTGATAAGAAAAGTAGGATTACTTTTTTATGCTGACATACAGTATTTTGATCATTAATACATTAGTGAATATTTTATCAAAGGACATTTTGCACTTCTTCAAGATGAGAATCTACTAATGCAGGTTCCATTAAAATGTTCAATACCAAGACAAGGTCTTTCTAATGCAGATCAAAAGAACAACGATTCATAAAAAGGGTGGTTGAAGAACATAGAACACAGTCCAGTATGCATGTGAAACCTGTAAGTGAAGCTTTCCATCTGAATTCCATCTATCTCCTCATTAGCCCAGCTCTTGGTCCTTTCAAAGGACAGTTGAAATCATTTCCCTTTTGCCTTTCTGTAACTCCTGAAATACGGAATTCAGGATACCTACCCAGTGCGTATGTCCCCTTTCCTTTATTTATCAGGCATAAAACAGTTGAACAGATGTTAATTCCTGGTTTTGCCCTCCTTCACAATCCAATCCTCCCCTTCTTGCTCTTCATAAGCAAAACTGATTTTCAGATTTGACAGAAGCAGCTAGCATGCCTTGGTATTACTTAATATGAAAAGTGAATACATTTCCCGCCACGCTCTTTGTACATACCAACTGCATATGGAACTGCTTGATCATCTCCACTTGCAAATTCACAATATCTCGATGACATGCTTCTCTGGGGGAAGAATGGCAAAAGGACAATGCTTCATTTTATTTAGGAAGCAACAATTCTCTCCAATCCTCAGCACCCAGAACTCCACACTTCATGACACTGTGAAACATGAGTCTAAAGACCCTTAAGCCATGAAACACACTCCTCTACTACTTACGTTCTGGAATACTTCTGTTATGACACTGGCTTTTGTAAGTACCCTTTTTTCCGGTGTACAAAGAGACTTAAGATCTTTTCTGTTTAGAAACATAATTATATACATGGTGATCTCGAGGTTATTTTTTCACTTGCAAGCTGGAAACATCTCTCATTTTTACCATTCAAAGCTGATTTTCAATCCCTCAACCACAAGTACCACAGAGAAACATATTTATCTGTAACTGAAGATCCAGCTTTTCAGTGCATTGCTTTGAGCACTCCGCTGTAAGAGGGCCCAAAATAACAGCTGTGCTAAGTGATGCATTATCCTCAAGCCCACGGAATGCCCCAGGTTAATCTACATAACAAGCAGTGGCAGTGTTTTCTCAGGAGTTTGTCAATTCACTGACAAATATTCCGCAACACAAGGAGGAGCTTGGAAATACCCTCCGAACACTACACAAGTGTTCCAAGCACTGAGGAAGAAGAAGGACAACAGCTCACAAAAAAAGCAGGCAGGCAAGCTCACGCTCTCCTGAAGAGCACATCACCACAAGCAATCATCTCAGACCCAACACCATGCTGTGGGTACCAACGGCCCGAAACAGTAAGGCATTTCTTGAATAGACACACACACAGATCTTACTTCATTCTCCTTTCCTAAAATATACAGCAAACCCAAAGCGAATACATTCTCCACTTTCTAATTCCACAGGATGTTGTGCTTCTGAACTCCACTGGAAGCCAACAACCTTCAGGTGTACGGAGTGCAGATGCTAGCTGGCAGTGCAGAAACCCAAAGATGTTGGTCATCTCCCACAGACAGGAAGTTCAAGAAACAAGCAGCTCTTCAGAACCAAATGAGTTGTATATTTCTCCCAGTCCCTTTCTAAGGTCCTGGTTTTATCCCCATTACTTGAAGAGGAATGAATTTCAGGCAAGAGCAATAACAAGCCTTTCCTCAGATTGCAGAGGGTGAAAGGTCACTGAGAATGTTGCAGTGGCTCCCTTCTCTCTTACCAACCTCAGTACAAACAATCTTTTACATTCAGTTTGAATGTATCCACAATTTACAGCTGGGAAGAGGACCAGCAGAGCCTCACAGCCACTCTGGGAAGTGTAGGTCAGAAGAGGAACACAATCTCTGAGGCTCCACAGCTCAGACAGTGGAAGTACAAAACGGACAAGCGTCACTGCCAGCACTACGATGCCTGAACACAGACTTGAAAGAAAAACACATCTGCAACCCACAGACTGCATTTTAAGTCAGGTGAGGGTTAGTGTTTAATCAGCTGTGTGATTATCACTAAAAAAATCCCAGGCGAGTTTCACTATACTGTATTCTTAAAGACATTTAATACCAATCAAGGTATTTTTGTGTTGGCCGGTACAGAACAGCACATGGACCTACTAAGCTAGTTTTGCTTTGCTTTTTGTCATCAAGACAGCAATACGTCCCCTGCCCTGCAATCCTTTTCTGCTCCACCCTTAGTCAACCTACCTCACTTTAAACACAGGCTGAAAAGTGATCCCCTAGATACAACTCTCTCTACTGATCCATCTCTTTCAAACTTCACTCTAAATCCATGATAATTCGACGTCTTTCTTGACAAGTGGAATGTTAGCTAGGTATCCACAAACAAAACAATCGGACACCAACCATCACTGACAGCACAGACATTATTGTAATGTAAAGCTTCACCACTAGAAATATTTTACCTCATACATGCCAAGCTAACAACCATCAAAGCCAATACAAGCCAACTGTCTGGATCAAACTCTCCACAGTGTCAGCTTATTGAGAAATTTCTCCTGCTTGGAGAGCGGATGAGCAGGGAGGGAAAGAAATCAGCACAAGGCTTCATGAAAGAAGGAAGGACCTCGTTATGCAGGTAAATTTACCATTCGAGGAGAATTCAAACACTCTGAAAACACTTTAGCAAAGCCATACATTAACAACCCCAGAGACATCAGCCTAATTAGTTATCAGAGCCATTAAAAATAAATAGTGTCATACCTAGATTTCCAGTATTAAGGCTCTTAATGGTGTCATTTTCTAATGCCAAGCAGAAATTTGTTAAAGTAGATACTAAAAGATCAGAGGGTCAATGAAAACACAAATGTTCTGCAAGAATATCAGTACCTGAAGTCATCCATTGTTTCTTGTATCATATTCTGAATGAATTTTATTTGGATCGATGTCAGCGGTGCATTTGGTCTGCCGCTCCCAATGGTCTCTGCTATTTTTTCTGACAATGAACTGGCAACTCCGGCAGTGACAGGTGACGTTATCTTTGGACCTTTACAATTAAAAGGAAATCTCTCTTTTAAAAAAAAACAAAAAAAAAAACACTCCACACCAAACCCACACAGTATAATGGAGCACAAGAAGGTTTTTTTATTTGTCTTGAGGCTTGTCAATATTTTATCTCAAATATTACCTAGTAAAAAAACCGATTAGACTTAGAATGAGGCTCTTCCAAGGCAACTAGAGATGTCCTAGGAGACCTACCTGGATCTACACAAGAATTAAGACTGGATGCTCTGTTTTCATGCTAAGGCCTTTTTAGCCAGTTTCACACCAGTTCACAACCAACCACACCTAAAACTGGGCCAAAACGATCAGCTTACTTGTTGAGGTAGTACCATTCACTGGTTGATCATACGCAGGATGGGCCGGAATATTCTTCACGACTCGCTCATTTGTATCGGGAGCCTTCACAGCAGTGGACGACGGTGGAAGACTTACAGTTACAGATTCTGTGCTTAATGAGCTCGACTTTGAAAGCTGACAATAAAACCAAAAATATAGTAATTAAAAATAAAAGGAATATGAACTCTACTTATTCCAATTATCTAATCACACTTGAAAACGAAGCTTTCAGGAATGCAGTTTCAAATATTTTTGCGTTTAGGAATCTACTCACACATACATGCTTTTCATTTTCTAGCAAAACATCTTAAAAATTGTTTGCTAAAATATTCCAAATTGCCTCAAGTGGGTGCACACAGAAGGGAGTGGAAAAGGCAGGGGCCTCAATCTTCACATCAAACATATTGTGGCAATGTTATAAAGATCATTCCTAGCGAACTCGGACGTCTCAAAGGCAACACAACAGGAGCAAGGGTCTCAGCAGAAGAGTATCAGAGACAGCTCAAGAAGGAAGAATGGGGAGATGGAGAATTGGAAAAGAAGAAAGAATGGAATCAACCTAACAAATGACAATCATACTCGTTGTAAATAAACCACGACACTGGTGCAACCAACTAACGACCATTCTTGATCTGCTAGAAAAATCAAAATAGTCCTCAGGCTAGCCCAGGTTTTTCCCATGTGAATGTTCGTAACCTGAGCTTACCGAAACAGAAACATATACCTATCGTGCAGTGCTGAAGGCCAACACACTTGAAATGAACAACGTTTCACAGATTTGCATCAACAGTGTGAAGAGAGTTGCATGATAAGATTAGCTGGGACACTATTAAGGATTTTTCCTTCAAGCAGTAGTATTCAGTCAAGATTTTAAAAGACCCCTCACAACAAGAATTAATAGTGTATACCTGCTTTACGACTTCTTTACACTCTTGCTTTCCAAGATTTATTTTCTTAGCGTCAGTCTCTGGATGTTCTTCCTCTTCTTTAATTGGAGATTCCATAAATACATGTAACGGGCTAGACTGTATCCCTTGGGCACTACTGCCCACTGGGTTTCTTTTTACTGGAAGGGAAGAGGTGAGCTGCGGGAGAAAATCCAAACCCAAAAGGTAGGACTGAAAATCCACATCTACAAAGGAGAAAGGAAGGGTGAAACATGCTGGTCAAGAAACAAACACACACACACTCCAAATCAAACTCCCAGTTAAAACGTGTGCACACCCACATAAAACAAATAAACAAAAAAATAACCCCAAAATGCCACAAAAACTAAAATCCTTAAATCCCACCTCTGCTGTCGTTGTCCTCATGAAAGTAATAAAGCATGAAAAGTCTCCATATATCACCATAAATTCCATAAAGGAGAACTAAAATCACTTTAGGACCATACTCTGGATTTCCTGTTAGCGTGTTGTGTCTCAGCACCTCAACGTGTTAGACAATTCCCAGAAGAGTTCATTTGTCCCAGTGTCTGCTTTCATCCTTTAGTTTCAACGGTGCGGCAAAATTAGCATGTAAGAAAGCAGAGAGGCTTCCAAAGGCCTACCACTGACAAAGGGAAATACACTGGAAGTATGTTTACCATCTCCTTTTCCTTGAGGATCTTCATTCACTTTACTTGGAACAGTATCTACAAAACACCAGAACACAGAGAAATTGTTTATAAATAAACGTCAATATTCATGTCACTGCACTGAGTTCATAACCAAAGAGAAATGACAACACCCCGTAGGTAGGGCAGTCAGTAACACGCAAGTCTTGTGCCACATGCAGACGAACGATGCTTCACAAATTTCAGTACTGCAACTTACCATCTCTGACTGGAGAAAACACATCTCCTAAACTACTCCGAGTCAACTCAAAATTATTTAAATCAGCAGTTTTCCCATGATCTGTTTCTTTAGATGGAATCACATCCAAGCTGCAGCTATGGGGAAAACCTTAAAAGGACAGTAACATTCAGTTAGCAACTGACATTGTCCGAAAATATCATACTTTATCCCCAAACAATCTCACAGCAAGCCTGATGCCTGGCAAGTCCAGCAAGCGCTTTAGAACCTTCTGCGGGTTCCAGTTAGAGGGTCAGCTCTAACTCCCTCATCGGGGCTGTCATCACAGGTGAATATAAACTGAAAGCGAAGGTAGTTGATAACAGAGGTGAGATACAGCAGGATTCCTTTCCTCTCTTTACAAAGGAGAGTTGTGAAACTGGAGAATGCACTCTTTCAGACAAATCTACACGATGGATGCAGCAGATTTATGGTGTATCAGGTGAAATGAGAACTAGCGAATGCACCTTCTGCTCATCAATGATCACACTGAGATACTCAAAATGTAAATGTATTCTGCAAGAACAGACATCTGCTTCACCCGGGCTGCTAAGCATCTGAAGGAAAATGCTAGGAAACAGCTATTTGAAAGCTTACCTGCTGTTAGGATACTCACTGCTAATATTCTACTATTAGGAAATCAGAGTAGGCTTACAGTTGCAGACAAAAGAAACTTGTTCCTAGACCCTCCCCCACTCCAACCTCAAGCCCCATCCCTGACCCAATCCAGGGAAACAAGTTGGCTTTTGTACGCATGGCAGCACAGTTATCTGAAGACCGGAAGCATATTTAAGTCCAAAAAAGCCCAGTAATTATCCCAGCTACAGTTTTTAGACAATAATACATGGAGAAATTAACTGAACTGCTAAGACAGCCACCTAAATATCTTTCACAATTCAGTGTGTTTGAAAACCACATCAGGGCTGTAAGGAAACTGCTCTTCTGCTCTCATTGAGCTCCTAAAACTGCCTGAATTTTGTTTAAGACCTAGGGAAAG